AAGCAGTTAAGCAAAATTAAGGTCATACAATTTAAGGTACTTATACAAGAGTCAAAAACTGAGTCTAAGCGTCACAACTAAAGTACTCACTATTCTCAAGGCATAACAAAGTCAAGAGATATTGCTATTCAAAACACAACACAATGGCTCCTGCTCCCAAAAAAACTAACTACACCCGGTTCAAATAAAACCCTTGAAAAAGAACCGCGGCACAAAGAAAAACCAAGGGGGAATTACTACACTACCTACAAAGAAAATCTTTTTTTAGACTTAAATCCCTCAAGAAAATTTTCTAATAGATCCATCGTCGGGAAAAGTCCAATCTTTAAAATAAAAAAATATTATTTAATTAAACTAACACAGCTAAAGTAGTATGAAAAGTCACCCAGACAATCTCCTCACCCCACACTTAAAATTGTGCATTGTCCCCAATGCACACCATAACTAACAAGAGGGTGAAAGAAACTCCCTGGTAGGCCAAAGGCCGAATCACAACAACTCATGGGGTACTCAGACTTCTCCCAGGCTTGGTCCTTCGTGCGGGTACCTCACGCTTAGTTCCAACCATTTGGTTTGTTGTTTCATCCTTCCAATAGCTTTGCTTTCCATGCTCCTGGAAATTAAAAAATCAACACTACAAACATAATACAATTAGAGAAATAAAAAAATAAAAGAAAGCAATAAAGCTGGGTTGCCTCCCAACAAGCGCTTGATTTAACGTCGCGGCACGACGTGAATCACTTTCTGCCTCCACCTTGAGCTTATCAATTGAGCCCCCAATTTGATATCAATTTTCGACTATGCTCCAGGGGTGGAGGAACAAATCTAATTGGCCCAAAAAACCATTGTACTATTCTACACTTCTTGGCTTTTCGATGAGGTATGTAGTCCTGTCTTTCTGGCAAAAAAATTCCAGAATGTAGGTACCTTGTTCCTTATTCCTTGATTTCTCAATCGGCTCGGATGACTCTATTTTCATATCGTCATCCAAGCACAATGTAGAAAAATGTTTGGAGTGAGGACCCACGCGCTCACACACATGAACTTCAGGACTTTCAGCATCCTCAACATCAATGATACTAGAGTCAACAAAATTTATATCCTCAAAGTCCTTGGCTGGCTCTAGTCTCACTTCTTCAACATTGACATCCTCAAATTGTAGTTGGCTAGGTTGTTGATGTTCTACTCTGACCTCCCCAATTAATACCTCAAATTCATGCTCTTCTTGGCTATTATCCTCAATATTGGCTTGTTGAGCATTAAAAGCTCCAACCGCTTGACTCAATTGAGCCTCCAACTTGCGAATAGTTGCCTCTTGCCTTTCTATCTCCAATTGTTTTTCATTATTTTATTTCAGAAGGCACTTTAACATATCCTTGATCTTCTTCAGGTCTGCATCCCCAGGTTCTTTGTTCCTGTTAACTTCACAAGAAAAGGTAGAACCATCATAATAAGGGGTTGGGGGAAGATAAGAAATATAAGCAAAACCATAAAAGTGACCATTTTTACCACCACACACATTTCACAAATAAGATTGAGTTGGTGCACATAACTCGCTCTCAGGAACGTTTTGAAAATTTTGCCACGGGTGATTTCCTTCACAATATGTATGGAGATCAATAGTAGAATTATCTACACCTAATTTCCCATAATTCCAAGATGTCATGTTTCTCAAATCAACAGTTATAAAAAAAATACAAAAAAACAAAACAAAATAAAAGTTCAAACTCGAAACCTAGCAATATATACAACTACAACTACACCGTTAGTTTTCCGGCAACGACGCCAAAATTTAATCACGCCCAACTATGCCTTATAAAAAGGACAAAGCGGTCGTTGCAAATATAATCCGGTTTACAAGTCCGGAGTCGAATCCCACAGAGAACTAAGACTTAGCTACAGTTGTTCAATATCACCAAGAAGACAAGCTTGAACAATTCCTAACTTATAGATATTAAGATTCTTGTGTTTAACTAATTAACTAGTAAATTAAAATAGTAAATTAACAACGAAAGATACTAAGGGTTAGAGACAAGATTAAGGAGGTCTAGAGTTATGATTTCTCCTATTGTCGGAATCCTTCCCACTATGTTTTCTATAAATTCGCCTAAGTATTCTCTACCGATCATGAGCGCTCTGACTGTCGTAACTCTCTCCCGAGTAATTACCATAATTTACTAGACATATTCTCCCGAATACGCTAGTTGGCATCAAGTACGGCTCACTCGGATCGCACCCAAGGTTTCGTTATCCCTAATCCCACCTTTAAACTCTCCGTATTGATCCCTTATATACGTTAGGAGTGATGTTGTTCAACAACTATCAAAATAGCACTCTCTCCCGAGTAATACACACTAAATATGCACAGTCGATTGAGAGCTCTTCAACCAACCACAATAAAAATATAGTTGAACAAATAGAGAAAATACTATGGCAAATCTATGTTAACGTAACAAGAAGATCATCCTCCAATAGGTTCCATCAAAACCCTAGATAACAAATTAGCTATTCATAATAGTATGCATAAATACAATACTAGAATTCATAACCAATAATGGAAATAGGAAAAATAAAGTGAAAACTCGTAGAAGAATTCTCCGCCTTGCTCCCAGTGTGTTCTTGCCTCCTTAGGTCGAATATGTGTCTCAAATCTGTCCAACCTCCTCAAAATACTGTTTTTCCATGTATATATACCAAGTAGGGTCGAGCCCAAACAATTACACCTCTCAAAATACTGTTTTTCCATGTATATATACCAAGTAGGGTCGAGCCCAAACAATTACACCTTCTCCTACGCGAAAAAGGACACTTCTCCCGGACAGGACGTGCGTGGCCACGCTTGGACCGCGCATATCCACTTTGATTCTGCCTGACGAGCGTGGCCTAAGCGCGGCCGCGCACTTGACGTGCACTTTTCACCCTGTTCTGTTTGGGATTTGGAAAAACATAAAATATGAAAGTTGTAGCCCTTTGAGTTAGATTTCCAACCATATATTGTGGATCCCAAATGGAGTTCTGAGCGAAAAGTTATGTGCATTTTACTAGATAGTGCGCAATATGCCTACTCGATTCTTCGTTCGTTCTTAATTATCATCCGTTGATCCCCGAACACGATCCCGGATTAATTCCTTGGGCTTTTACTCAGACTTCAAAGCTCAAATTCACTTGAATTCATTTTATAACATCTACATAGCTCGGGATCCCTCCTACAAGGCATAAAACACACAATTAGTGCAAAGCACTAGCGATTAAAGCGCAAACTCAATGAAAGTGCAGTAAATTGGAATGTAATAATCGATTAAAATACGTAATTATAGCCTATCATCACCTATCCTTGAATTTTGCCAAATGTTTTATTTATTTATTTAAAATTTAACTTTTTCAGGGGATGTCAATTGTCATTCTATCCTTGTTTTGCCTCTCTATTTTATATAGATACATACATAAAAATAATTTTAATATGTTATATACAGTGTATATTTTGGACAATTCCTTTACTGTGTTAATATTTCGCTTTAAATAGTGTTTAAATATTACTCCAGTAAATTAATTTGACTTATATTTTGTATTAAAATAATTTAGCAACAGTTTAAAAGTTATTCAAGAAAGATTGTAACATCAGAGGTTAAAGTTTAAATATCTTAAAGTATTTGAATTCTGAAAAATTATAAAATCGTATAAACATGAAATGGTGACATCCAGATTGCATCAAACTTATACGAGTGTTTAATGCTTAAGTCTTTTCGGCAAGGGATATTAGATATTTTTACAAGTATATTCAATTTGACAATTATGGAGTGTATTATCTTAAAATTAAATAAATTAGATAATTATTCGATAAAAAATGGCTGGATGAAGAATTTTTATGATGTTAATGTATATAATTAAATTAATGAAAAATCAAATAAAATTTTGTATAACAATGTGTTGAAATGGGTAATGACATGAAGGTTAGTGATGTCAGCACAAAAGTATAGGAAGGGCTACCATGTAATTTCATTGAATTAAGATTTTCTAACACTCTGTTTGGATCATTGTTACCCATCGTTTTATAATGTATTTTGTGTTGTACTGCATCGTATTGTATCGTCTTATAAATACAATGTTTGGATATATTGTATTGTTTGTTGTTGTTAAATAACATTTGCTGTTTGGTTTGACTGTATCATGTTGTACTGTAACTGATAAATTTACTAAAATACCCTCAATTGTTTAAATATTAAGCTTATCAAGAATTACGCGTAAAAACAATTTAAGAAAATCGTTTTCTACTAATTTATCACCAAATATGTCTTATAAATAGATTAAGCAATTAAATTCATGCAAATTCTAACAAAATTAGTGGAACAAGTTAATATTATTAAAAACAATAATAAGTACACTCCATTCCTAACTAGATCATAGTAATAATAATAAAACAAAAAATAAAATGTTAAAGAACTATGATAAAGATAGGAACGATAATCGGCAGAACAAAGATAATTAGAATTGGAGATAAAATCAAATTAGGAGAAAAAAACGAAATAAAAGAAGGCAAAACACCTTTGGCGTTATAGTTCGAAGCGGCAGAAGTTTTGGGAAAAAAAAAAAGGGGGACGAAGACAAAGTAGGTTATAGGTTGGAGATTTGGAGTTAAAAAAGAAAAAAAAAAGGTAACGGGTAAAATAAAATTGTGAAGTAATAAGTTAGGGCATAATTGGAAAGAAAAATAGGAAACAATCACACCCACACCAAATCGGTTGTTTTAAAAAATGGGACTTTTCATTGTTCTGGAACAATGAATTTACAATACAATACAACCAATTTTAATGAGACAATCAAAACAAACATTATTCTGGAATAACAATATAATATAATACAGTACAATGGGTAACAACCATCCAAACAAGCTATAAGAAGTCTAAACATAGCCTCCAATCCTACTAGTAGGGCACAAATTCAACGGCCAAGATTTTTAATGTAGTATTGCCCTCATTTGGACTTGAACTATAGTACTTGGGATGGTGATTTCCCATCCCATGAGAGCTTGTTCCCAGCATTTAATCTTTGTTGATGAATTATTGCAGGACTCGTTTGTAGCTGGATCAGACACATCCTCGAGTACAGTAGAATGGGCCATTACAGAGCTTATTCGTAACCCAAGAATACTGGCCCAAGCCCAACAGGAGATCGACAAAGAGGTTGGAAAGAACCTAACTCAATTAACTTATTTGGAAGCCTTAGTCAAGGAAACCTTAAGGGTTCATCCAACTACCCCTCTCTCCCTCCCCAGAATTGCATCAGAGAATTGTGAGATTAATGGTTATTTCATTCCAAAAGGCTCAACACTTCTCGTAAACGTTTGGGCCATCGCTCGTGATCCAAATGAATGGGCTGATCCATTGGAGTTTAGGCCCGAAAGATTTTTGCCTGGAGGTGAGAAGCCCAAAGTTGATGTGCGAGGAAATAACTTTGAAGTAATTCCATTTGGAGCTGGACGTAGAATCTGTGCTGGAATGAATTTGGGCATACGAATGGTCCAGTTGATGACTGCAACTTTAATTCATGCATTTAATTGGGATTTGCTATTGGACAATCGCCAAAGAAACTAAACATGGAGGAAGCATTTGGGCTGACTTTACGACGGGTGCACCCACGTCCTCGCCTAGAAGCCCAAGCATACGTTGGGTGAACAGTCTCATTAGGATATGACATGTCCGCTAAATGTAGGGGCATTTGCATCTATATCCGCTTTTTGTGCCACATTTTAACTTGTGCCCGCTTTGCAAAAAAAATTACAAGCGTACCCGCTTTTTCACATAACTTCAGCACACGGGGCTGAAGTAGCAAAGGCAATCACGCAAAACTTCAGCATTCTAGTAGCCGGGCCTGAAGTTCAGCTCTTGAGCTGAAGTTTTTGTGTTGTAACTGGGAAAGCTGAAGTTTTTGTGTTGTAACTGGGAAACTTCAGCTATAGAGTTGAAGTTTTTGTGTTGTAACTGGGAAACTTTTGTGTTGTAACTTGGAAACTTCAGCTCTAAATTCATAATCTAATGTTGAGAATGCTTCTGCCATTGTTGCATATGAGGTTAAGACTAGGCTGAAGAGATCAAATAGTACATCTGATATAGTTATCCAATCAAATACTGAAGATTTGCTTATGAGCAAAGGTGGTGGATCCGTTATATCAGAATTCTATAGTGCAGAATATAGGAGAAACAATGCAGTACCCAGCACTATGAGTGCTTCAGACATGGTGATTATTCATACCAGATAATTATATGAATAAACTATATAATCCAGATTTTATAGCTTTTCTATACCCAATATGTAACAATTGTTAATCGAGTTGCTGAACATATGAGAAATTTGAAGCGCCTGATTGTTAGAAGGTTGTAATTTGAAACAGTGGACGTGGAGGTTATAGGAACAGTAGCTCTGATGAAGAAGAAAATGAAGTGATGAAGAAGAAAATGAAGGAGGAGAAGAAGGAGGAGAAACGGGCTGAAGTTATTTAAGAAGTAGGTATAAATTTAAAAGTTTAAAAAAAAATGGGTATAGGTTAAATGGGGGCGACCAAATAGGGCGCCTCGTGCAATTTTTACCTAAATGTATTAGGAAAAATTGGCATCCTATAAAAACACATAACAGGAATTGGCAATTTTTTAGCCTTATATTAGGTTTGGCAAAGATAGCCCAAAATAATTGGCATTATATACCCAAATCCTAAAAACACTACTCTCTTATATATTCTCTTTCAAAATAAACTACTCGCTTATTTTGGCTTTCCTCGACCTTTCTCTCCTTGTATTTCTTCTTCTATCTCTTCTCCTTCACTCTCATAGTTTAGCAAAAATTCTTGCAAATTATACAAAAAAAATAAGTGGGGTAAAAAGGTAAGGTTGATCTCACATCAGAGAAAATCAGAAACAAAAACTAAGAAAGAAAAAATATATTTCAACTTTGTTTTTCTTCTCTCTTCTTTTTTTGGTTGGATTGAACGAGTGGGTGTGATTGAAATTGGTTGAAAATACCTAAACGAGGCTATATACAAAATTTGAGCAAGATTAGAAGTGATTTAGACTAGTTTCAGGTTAAAAAAAATCAGACCTAAAAATCCAACATCGACATGTGTATATCACGTTATATATCGTGTACATCAGTGTATATCACACACAGGTTTTTAAGGACATAATATCGTGTATACAACAAAATTTTTTTATGGACGCCCGTGTATATCACATTGTATATCGTATATATAACACAAATTTTCATGGATATACATAGATACACATGATATACATGAGATATCACTGATGTGCATAGAGATATACATGGGATACAATAGGGGATACACATATGGAGTCGTCTTGAACTTGAGTTTTCAATCTGAAATGTGTTATACAAAGAAGAGAAATTAAATTTTAATAAACTTTTTTGATATACATATTATTATTATGTTATACACTGTGATATACAATAATATAATTATTAATGTGTTATATATATATCTGGATATACAGATAAAAAACTAGAAAAATAATTAAAAAATATTTGGAAATTTTTCGGATACTACTAAAGGAAATAGAACCTAATTTCTAGGATGATGGTTGCTACGAGAGAAGAGATAGAGGATTTTAAATATTTTTTGCTATTTTTAAGAGAAATAATTTTGATGGGGCTTATTTTTAGGGTGATAGTTGAACCATTTGAAGAAAGAGAATAACTTTAGGCTACTATATGCCAAATCCTAAAATGTTGATTTTTTTTATGCCAATTGTTGGACCTAGTTGTCATGCCATGCCAAATCTCCATATATTAGTCTCCATTTCGATTATTACGCTTTGCAAATACGTAGTAGTTTGTATTGAAAGATTAAATCCCATAAGTGAAATATCCTGTTGTATGTGTCTTTTTTTAAGGGCAAAAAACACTGTATACCCATCTATTATCCTATTTGTTATTGGACACTTGCGTTGCACGTGTATCTCATTCTAATTGGTACAAATATTTAAAAGTATAATAATACAAGTGTAATAGAAGTTGAAGGAATAAATGCAAGCTCAAGTTGATGAATGTGAACCTATTCGATCGATATTTATTGTCATTGCAAAGCACAATCATATTGAAAATTTGCTTTTAAATGAATTTCAAAAGAAATGTTTGACTCGTATTATGCAATTCTTATAATTTATCGAGTATTTTAACAGTAATATATATATATATATGTGTGTGTGTGTGTGTGTGAACAACACAACATCGGCTGTGTTTGCAAATGTTTCACGCCTTAAAGTTTTTGTCTTTTTAGAGAAACCGTATCCTCCTCCTTTTTACAGTTGCATACATATGAAGAAGTTTTTATCGAATGGAAGCAGTATTTTATAGAAGTTGTACCGAAATTCGACCAATGTATGTGACTATCATTGTCGATATCATGATATACACCTACACAAAGGTAGAGTTACTATATTTTGTATAAAGATAATAGTTGCTAAAATATTTAATTAATGTGTATAAAGCCTAATTATACATACATGTACTCTTTTTGTTTGTTTTAAATTTTCGTCTGTGAATTTGAGAAAAGAAAAATATTAATTGAGTTGTACAAATATAACAGTATTATGAAACGGAGCATGATCATGTGTAATATTGACAGTGTGATATTTTAGTACTTCATCGAAATTTTAAAACTTTATTATATTACTTAAGAAAAAATAATATATCTTGTAGTTATGAAATTTAGCTTTTAATAGATAAAAAAGAAAACAGACAAACAAAACAATGAGAATAAATAATATTACAATATGTGTGTGTGATGAGGAATATAAAAAATACAAGTCCAATTAAAGAAAGAATAATAGAGGCATGAAAGACAGAAAATCAAATATCCCATCAAATACAGTACATGATGTTTGTTAATATTTGAGAAACATGAAAATATACGGGAATGTAGATGCATCATTGTGATGCAGAAGAACCACACAAAAATAAGAAAAGTATAAAATATCACAGAGATAATTATCTCACACAAAAAGAAATGCAAAAGCAAATAAACCAGCCAGCTGAAGATTTGAGCAAGAATACTATGACATAAAACATGTTAATGTAAGTCAAAAGCTAATTGTTCTAATAAAGACCCTCTCCAATATTAAATATTTGTAGTAGTTAATAAGAGGGCAACAACTAATATTAAAAGACTACAGGAAAAGAAAAAGCTAAATGCTGTAAGGGTATTACTCCTTCCAAAATCTCTTGCTATACTTTTCTCGTATCTTGTCTTAAAAAGAAAGGTTGTGTGATGCCCTCGTTTTGCAAGTGATATAATGGTTGGATAATTAAATGAGCAATTTTATAGGGTGAAATAAAGAATATAAAAAGATTCTTAGAAGATCAATGGAAAAAAACTGAAATGTGATGACAGCCTGCATTACCTTTACTATCGTGGAAGATGAAAAATACAAAACTGCTTCCAAAACATTATTCCTATTAATAATTACAGTTTCATGGAGTTATTACAGTTGAATCATACAAGGTCAACCATTTTTTTTTCAAATTCTGTTCACAATATGTGAAAGTGCTTTGGCTGTGCTAAAAACTAATTTTCAATTCACATGTTCAATAATTGTACCTTACCATTTAATAGGATCAAATCAAATAAACAACTTTATTTTTCAGTTTATCTATTCACAATTTTACATAGCAGCTGTGGTTTTACCATTTATTAATAGAATCCCAATTGGTCCAGCTTCATTTTTCAATTCACACGTTAATTGTACCTATAATTTACCATTTAATAGGATCCCAAATTAATGACCAACTTTATTTTCCAACTAGTGAATTTTCTCGTGCTTCGCGCGATTATAAATGATGTTAGTAATTTTTTACATAAAATTATATACTTTGTTAAGCTAGAGAAGGTATTTTCTGTCATTACATAGTATATATAATATACATACAAAAACTAAATCGATAAATTGATGAAATCACAAATATAAATACTTTTATTAGATTTTGATTTTCTCTCTTCCATTAAATAGTAAAAGTTTTGTTTTTCTAAAATTTTCTCTCAAATATAATTAAACATGAAATGAAAAGTAAATAGAAATAGGAAAGGAAAAAAGAAATAATTGTCAATGCAAGTTGCAACGCCTGTTGAGTGTTAGAGCCTGTTTGGCCAAGCTGCCAAAATCTGCTTATTTTAAGAAGTACTTTTTTTCAAAAGTACTTTTTCCGGAAGTACTTTTGAAAAAAAATAATTTGTGTTTGGCCAATTCATTTAAGAAGTACTTTTTACAACATTTGGTAGCAAATTATGTTTGGTCAATCTTTCTAAAAAGTACTTTTGAGTGTCAAATTACCAAAAAGGATGGTACCAAGGCATAATTATTTTAAAGAGAAAAATGAACTTAAATATTTATCGTAAGAGACTTTTATTATTTTTTATTTTATTAAATTAAGATATAAAACATAAAGTAAACAACATAATAAAGATTTAACTCAATTTTACATATATAGTTATACCAAAACATATAATATTATCTAGTATAATTACTTATTGTTACAAAATGATTTGAATAATCAAAATACATCATTTAGTATGAATTAGAAGTCT